AAATGACGTTTACAAATAAAACGAGAAACTCCATGACCTCTGGTATAAATTGAAAGAAGTTATATTGAATGGAACGAATTTTCTACAATGGCTATATTCCGAATTCAACTGGTCAGTACTGTAAGTTGATCCACTGACACTGATGAAAATCTGTGTTCCGGAATATAAAATCAAAAATTCACTACTGTAATTCGGGACACGTTTTCATGGTTTTCATCAGTAGTCGTTTATTTGAACTAGATGTTTAGCCTCCTATATATATATCCTGTTATAAATTTTTGAAATTTAATATTTAACATGGAAGAGAAATCGATTCTTGTATCCTCTATAGTTTCTACGATTGTTACGATTGTTGACGATGGCGATTCAAGCTCGAGTGATGGAGAATACTTGGACATTTTGTTGCCATAAATTTCTCATGATGCACCAGATTGGAAATTGAGATTCATGAAAATCGCAATATGCCTTAATAATGATGAATTTTAGGAGACATTCCAGGTTTATTCAGTTCATTTAGCCAATGCTGCTCCTTTTCTTACCTGCTCTATACTACTTCATACTCCAGGTATTTTCTGATATTGAGAATCATTTCATTGATAACGGAAATGAATGTTTCATTCCTTCCTCCTCTAAAATATGACAGTTCACTGAAGCCACACTACCTTTTGATACTCAGCAATTCCAGCAGAATGTTGAGTCGAAATATTTGGAATGAATATAGTTGCGTTTTATTTATCCGATTCCGCCACCGGAATCAGTTTGATGTGTCGTTTTATTTGCAACTTTTCCGATTCCGGTTGCTACTTTCCATTCAGTCTCACTACAAGGAATGATATGGAATGACTGTTGACAGGTGTGTCAAAAAATCAAATTATATTGATGAAAAACGAACCTTTTTGAAAGTAAAAGACATTTAGAAGACATTTTCAGCGTGAGTTTCACTAGTTCATGATTCTTTCAAGTAAGACAGGTTTCATACCCAGATAGCACACACTCGCCTAAGGTCATCCTCAATGTGTCGCCAAACGCCTGATTTTCTACAACCTAAGAACATCATCAGGCGTGAATTTAGCGCTGTAATTGTCCTAAATGAGTTCTTTCAGTGACAGCCTGAGGATGTAAAGAATTTCGTGCCTACGGACGTCTTCAGATGACATTCCATGAAATAACGTGTCATCGAAGACAAAAGGAAGAAAAAGAAGAACTAGAATTGAGGTTATGTCTCATGATAGTCATGATTTGTTCAAGATACATCATAATATATTATATTAATGATTATATCAAAACTATTAGAGTATTCATTGAAATTTCTATTTCACAACATGATTGCGAGAAGAACTTATTGCACAGAATTAAAAGATAACAATAACAAAAGGATGATAATCTCTGTTGATGACATTTCTCTCAGGTAGCAAGAAACAAAATGGTGAGTAAATACTAAATAGAATCATTGATAGTACCTGACATGAAATATTGATACATTCATATACATTATTTATTGTTTCAGGAGGTTATTGAGAACACAAACTTGATGATATCATCAAAGGAAACATGTTTTATTCCAAGATAGCTTTGCTTCTTCGGAATCTATAAAATATTGTATGGAAGCTTGAACTTCCAGTATGAATTCAATAAAGGTAGATACCTGAATCAAATCATTGATATAGTAGGTACTGGACATGAAATGTTAATAGGTTAATCATTTGTTTCAGATGAAGTTATTGAGAACACAAGATTGATGATGTCATCAGAGCAGAGATGTTTCATTCCAAGATATTTTGGCTTCTTCGAAATCTATGTGAGATTGCTTATGCATGTTTGCACTTTCAGTATAATTATTCAATAAAGGTAGGTACCTAAATCAAATCATTGATATAGTAGGGACTGGAACATGAAATATTGATAGGTACATTATTTGTTTCAGGAGGTTATTGATAACACAAAATGCGATGATATTTATCATCAAAGCAGAGATATTTTATTCCAAGATATTTTGGCTTCTTTGGAAATCATGAAAGATTGTACATATGCAGACTTGAACTTTCAGTAGATTCAATAATGGTTTGTACCTATAACTACATAAATCATATCATTGATAGTGAGTACTGGACATGAAATATTAATACATTGTTTGTTTCAGAAGGTTATGCAAAACACAAAGCTGATGATATTTTCATTCCAAGATAGTTTTGCTTCTTCAGAATCTATAAAATATTGCATGAAGGCTTCAACTTCCAGTTGATTATTCTGCATCAGGAATGTCCAGAGTTCAGAAATCAAAAACAACATGGAGAAATATAACTATCAATAGGCAATAACTTCTAGTAGTGCTCAACAAGAAGCTGAAATACATTTCTTTGAAAAGAAAATTGAAATTTTTCTGAATAAGTTATAAATAATAGAATGTAAGTTTTTCATTTGGTTTTTCAATTGAACCTATTATAAATAGAGGGAAATTTTGCAAATATCATGGGATCCATATTATTTTGAAGAAATTACCATTTGCATAATACAAGCTAGGTGAGTCAATAGTGTGTTATCCTTGTATATAAGCCAAACCATCAGATAAATAGAGAAAATTCAAGTACAACAGTGATAGGGTTTCATGAGAACTTTCACATTGAATTGTTTTCATATATATCTGTAGGGTGTTCGAATTCCAAGATATATTGACTGATGATTGTTTTTTTCCAAATGGGACACCCTGTATACTATTGCATTTTTAGGTTCTCCCTGAAGAGCTGATTCCATCAATGCATCACACTTGGGGTCTAGCGGGAATGATTACAGAGATATAGGGTGTTCAAAAACAAGATTTTTCAATTTTAGGATGTTTTTCGTGGAAACTATTCAATATTGGTCAAAACGGCTCACATATTCTTATAAACTTTCGATTTACTATCTACTGACATTCAATCGGAACAAATAGAGGGTGGGTTAACATTCAAAATACTGATCAGCTGCTCATTGTATCTGTTCCAAATAAATATCAATAGATAGCTAATCAAAAGTTATGACAGGAACATGTGAGCCGTTTTGACCATTAATGAATAGTTTCGACACAAAAAATCCTACATTTTTGAAGAATCTCAATTGTCAACACCCTATATCTCTGTAATAATTCCCACTAGTCACCAAGTGTGATGCATTGATGGGATCAACTCTTTCAGGGAAAACTCAAAAATGCAATAATATACAAGGTGTTCCATTGAAAAAAAAAAAAATCATCAACCGATATCTTGGAATTCGAACACCCTATAGATATGAAAACAACTTTAGGTGATTGTTCTTATGAAACCCTATTACTGTTGTACTTGAATTTTCATTTTATATATCTGACGGTTTGGCTTATATCGGAGGAGAACACACTATAGTGACTCATTCTGTATACGAATAATATGTTCATTCCCAGATAAAATAAACTCTGTCGATTTCAGATTTCTTTAATCATCACAATCACTGCTCCAAATATTAGTTGATTCATTTTCTAGATTCTTAACTCGTTTTATTTGTAAACGTCATTCTGTTCCCACCACCGCTACCAGAATGGAACAATTAAAACGCAACTAGTATGTCTGCTGACAAGCATATCTGTCACTTCCAGTGAATTTTTTGATTATGGAATGGAAAATCAGCAGATTCAGTACTGTCAGTTGAATTCGGAATAAAGTCAATATTGTCGACAATAACATTGATGTTCGTTACCCCGTGGCGTTTCGTATACACGCACACCTCCCACCACTCCCGCCAGCAAGTTGCCAGAGATAAGTTTTGCCTATTTTGGGAGAGTTCTCGACTGCCGTTGCCAACCTGTCCCAACCACTTGGACCACGTTTTTTCTGTTGAAGACCAAGGCCGACCGTTCCAAGACCATTTCGCCCGGGCTTTTTGATGGTCGATGCGATAAGAAATAACCTCAGAACAGAATTTGAATGATTATGAATGTCCCATTGGAGTTCATCACAATAATTTCCGAAATAGCATTTACCAATAAAAATTCAAAATTTCAGCCTGAAACTCTATTCAGATGTGCAGGTATCATGAACAAAATACATTACAAATTGTTGATTCAGAAATGATTAGAAAATAAACTTGATTAACGGCAATTCAAAACTAAGCCACTATTGTCGACATTCAATTGAAATTCGTTGCCATATTGGCAATAACAAGTTTCGTATTATTTTTTCCTACGTCGGAATCAACGCCTATGGGTCGATTTCGTTACCTATAGAGACATGAGTTGGTCCCGCTTTGAGGACAGCTATGCTCCATAGATATCTGCTTATAACCTTTTTCTACTCCTGTGTGTGAATTACTAACTTCACACATCGATAAAAGAGTGTAAAGCTTCATTTCACGAATCGGTGTGTGAAGTGCCATGCTTTTCTTATGGGATTTATTTCACGCACCGGTGCCATAAGAGTCAATACAAATTCACACACCGGTCGCTGGTCTAGGTAGCACTAATTTTGTAGAGAAAGACAAAGTAAATGTACATTTTGACAATTTACAGAATTACAATATAACTGTTCATAATAATTATTATTGTAATAAAGAAAATTAGTTAAATTTTCCTTTAATTCAATCTCTAAGTATAAATGGACGTAGAAAGTGTATGGTGAGCACCACATCCGTGAAGACTTTTTTACATTCGTGCAGATTGTGAAACTCGCCTGCGGCTCGTTCCACGAACTTCCACACTCGCGTAAAAAGTAACCTTCACGCACTAGATTTCCGCAGCATGCTAGTGATTGAATAACTGGCGAGAGTCGTTTGACTCATATCAGGTCAGATTGAATTTGTGTAGTGTTCTGTAGACACTCCCAATCCTCAACATTCTGAGCTCAACATCAAATAGTGTCCTGTCAATGTCATGTCATGACAATAAACAAATCAGTGTGGTGTTTACACTGTTTACTCTTGCAAACAAAAACAAATATTCCAGATATTAAAAAAGGGCCAAAAGAGGTACAAAATTTCAACTAGTACCTATATTTTATATGGATGTCTCTGTTCCTATAATTGTTTCATCTGAAATCACAAAGAAGTTATTCAAGTTGAAACCATCCAGATATGATGGGTATGATTGCTACTATGCTACTGTAATCACTCCAATCCTTTCAATTATTGAAGTCTAATGAAATTATGTGGAATGTGAACAAGTTGAACAAGATGTTTGTTTCAGGTTACTTCTCACCATCCACCATTCAACTAGGGATAGAAAAATCAGATTCATTCATGTTTGTTATCATGAAAATGGAAACATTCTAGTTTCTGCTGACAACCAAGGAAACTCTTACATTTTCAATTTACTTGACTGTAAATTCTGGGCATTACCGAAAGTGGATTCATGCACATTTATTACATTTTCTTCCCTGAACCCATATGAGCTACTGATTGCTGAGAAACAAGGTGCTATTCTCATTGTTGACATTGATTCTGGTCTGGTAGTAGGAAAGCTAATAGGTCACAAAAAAAGTGTTAAATTTGTGTCTTTTTCCAAGAAGAAATATTGCCTATCTTCTTCACCATATGAAGCTATTGTTTGGAATCTTCAAACAAGGTCCAAGATACAAGTTCTGGATTTGGACAAAACTAATTTATTGAAATATGTGAGTACTCATTAGAGTCAGAAGTGTTTTTATTTAGTTAACAGTACATATCCAGCAAACTCAGCTATATTAGGAAGAGGCAAAGGGATGAGGTATTTGAATAGGATCTATGAGTATACAATGCTGATTCATATGGTGGATGGCACATTAGATGTTTCTGGAGATTGCAACTTAGGATTATTCTAAAAAGTTAGGGACTTCAATAATTAGTTGTGTTCAATGTACCTAAAGTATTCTCAGCTTTGCGACTTTGCCATTTATGTTGAAAAGTAGCAACAACTTTGATTTTTTAAATGGGACACCCTGTATATTATTCCATTTTCAGATTCTTCCTGAAGAGCTGATTTCATTGACCTATAACACCTGGGGTCTAGCAATAATAATTACAGAGTTATGGGATGTGGAAAATCAAGATTTATCAACTTTAGGAATTTTTTGTGTCCAAACTATTCATAATTGGTCAAAACGGTTTTCATGTGCCTGTCTCAACATTTTACATACTATCAATTGATGATATTTAATTCAAATGAATACAGGGTGGTTCAGAATTACGATTTTTGACCACCTTGTATCTATTTCAATTAAATATCAGTTGATAGTACCTGCAAAGTCAAGATAGGAATTTGAAAACCGTTTTGACCAATTATGAATTGTTTTGATACAAAAAATCCTTAAAGTTGAAAAATCTCCATTTTTCACACCCTATATATCTTTGTTATCATTCCCACCAGAAGTATTATAGATCAATGAAATCAGCTCTTCAGGGAGAATCTGAGAATGAAATAATATACAGGGTGTCTCATTTAAAGAATTGAAGTTGCTGCTACTTTACAATAATAGTGGCAATGTCACAATGCTGAGAATATTTTAGGTCAATAGAACACAACTAATTATCCAAGGAACCAAATTTCCAAAATAATCCTATGTTGTGTTCTCCAGAAACATCTAATGTACCATTCACCTTGAATCAGCCTGTATATCAAGTTATAATAATTACAAGAATAATTATTATGGCACCTAGTTTGGCATGATGAATGGATTTTCCATTTACTTCTGAGTGGTTAATAATATATGCACTACTCTATGAATCCACTGATTCCTTAGCTGACTTATAAGTTTTGTCACTACATAAATGAATTTCAGAAAAATAAAATAATTTCAGAGATAGGGTACATGAATTGAAACTTGTCATTATGTGATATAACTCATTTTCTTGATGTGTGTATTTCACACCAGCCCAAAACCAGGTGGAGGTAACTTACACTGGTGTGAAATGCACTTTTCAAATAATGAAATATTGTCAAATATAGTGTAAACTACAGGAACATACAATTTTCATGTAGGAGAGGACTGACCACTACTAATTGTGACCACAACTTCTCATGGTCCAAAATTAATAATTCATGGAACTTGTATGTCAGGTGGTTTTGTATCTGGTTTTATTGACTAGAGCTTTCATTTTCAATGTACAGCATTAGTTTCACTGATACTTACCTCCAACCTCCATTTCTTATACAAATTTCAAACCATATCAAATTTGCATTTCTAGGTTTTGTTTTTATGCAAATATCAATTTCATTGAAGATTTTGTCTATAGAAAGTTCATGTCATATATGAATGAATATACATTCCTGCTGTATGTTTTGAAAGCTCCTTTGAATGTTGGTGAAACTAACAATATACAGTGTGGCCAAGATGAAGAAGCACAGCATGGGGATCTCAGACATGGTTAAATGGGAAAAATGTCTATTGTAAAATTTCAAATTATTCATAGTTTTTGTCCAGGTTTTTTTGTTATATCCAGAGAAGTGATTTTGTTTGTCTTGTTTTTATTTGAGATACAAAAAACTAAGCAAAAAACTGAGGATACTTCCTTGCAACTTTTGACGAGATTTATCATAGAGATTATGATTTCTCTTGGGATTTCTCTATGAGTTTTCTTTCATGTGCTCCAAGAGATAAAAAAAATACTCTGTTTTATATTTGTAGAACCATCAACAACTTGCAACAACTAATATAGTCTTATTTAGTGTTCAAATATTTCGAAAGTTTTGTCTTTCTGAATACAACTATGTATGTAAAGTGGTTTGAATGGATATCTAGCTAGTTTTAGTCATCATCAATGTTTTTAGGAAGTTCCAAAGAAAAAATATCATCAATTAAACTTATTTCAGATCATTTACTGCCAAATATTGAGGAAATGGTTATTGGACATTGAAAAGTTTGAAAAATCACTAAACTATTCCCTTTATATTATTCCATGGATTCTTGGATTCTTACCTTAATTACCTCAACTAGAGCCTCAATTTGAACAACAGAAACAGTAATTGAAATTTATGATTAATGTTAATGTTCATTCCACAATTTAAATATTCAATTCTTCCAAACTGTTCTGTAGCTATTTCATTGCTCAGAAAAACAAATATATGAATTTCTTTGGAATATTAGTTATAAATTAATTTTATAATTACACTGCACATCATGCATATATTTTTATTATATCAAGGCAGGGTCATGAAAGCTGGTATTTATGTATACTTGTCTTCATAGAACAGGATGGTGTCAGCTCTCTGAAATTACTACTGTAATAAGAGGACGTACACCGTCCAATCACAACATGTCCTCAGAAGACAAGTGTAGATCTGAATTTGGATGAGTATGAGAATACTAATACACCTATTTACTGACTATACTACTGTGCAGACCCAACCTACTCTGTACAACGGTACATTTTGCAATACGAAAAACGCTAAGTTTTCTTGAAATTTTTTCATTTCTAATCATACCATACAGCACAGCCAGGCTCTGGATAGTAATTCAATTCATAAATGCATTTACGCGCGTTTAGGAGTTTTTAAATCTACTAGCATACAATGTACCACATACAACGTCAAATGGATATGAGTGATAGGTTACAATTAAACTTCATAATACAGTAGGCACAAAATATCAAGCAAAATATATATTCATATCTCTGGCAGAAGTTCATGTTTGCTCAGAGTGAAGTGGAAATTTTCAATTATCCAATTTGAATCTGGCTTTTAATCACTTTGCACTTTTTATATTTACATCATTAAAAGTGTGAGTATGAATTGCTCTCCTTCCCTATGAAATATGTTTTCTGTATAAATATAGAGGAAAAATGATAGGTCCTGATGAATGAACAGCCCTGTTCAATCCTAGCACTATCACTACTACCTATGAATCTCTATATGACAATATTGTTAGCTACTCATATTTGCAGGATACCTAAAGTTATGTGGCGAGAGCTGGCGAGATGTACATGGAATAAATTCATTTTTAGCCAAACTATCCATTTCTGAGATATCTAAAAAAAATTCAACCTACAGCAGTAAGCAATCTTCTGAAACAGATCGATTTTTATCTTCAATTTGCCACATTTATATTGTTTGAGTTTAGACTTCCGCGAAAAATTTTTCAGATAGAACTCAAGTAATATAAAATTTTTGATATTCTCATGAACATCTGAATTCAAAAATATATGTATACAGTGTTGTCTGTTGAATCCAGTGTTCTTGTAAAGTAGTCAATAATTCCATTTATAGTCATACTCGAGGCCATACTATTCCTTCCTGAGGAATCCTCTGAAACAGGTCGATTTTAATTTTCAATCACCAACATTTATAAGGAAAAATTTAATATACAAGGTGTTTCACGATTGACTTACGTCGTCCGCGACCATTTTTCCAGAAGAATACCCCATAAATTAATCTATTGAATCCATGGAATGCTAGATTCTTAAATATATTACACAGAGTTTTTATAAAGTATGTTCATTGAATTAGGTGTTTTTGTGGTGTTGTGGATACATTAATTGAAAAAAAAAATGAATAATTTTTGAAAGAACGCTCGAAGCCATATAATTTTATTTTTATTCAAGCTTACTTTGTAATTCAATCAATATATACAGCATGGTTCGTGTAGGAGAAACTACGTCATCGTTATTTTTTCAATAGCGACCTCATTTTAGGAGAGCACTGATTTTAACGTACGCGCTCTATACAAACCATATGGGTCATGAAATTTTGAATCCAGCTTCTCATCGAGATTACAAAATTCAATAATATACAGTTTGACAAATATCTCGCGGACGTCATAACTCAAACGTGTATTATCCTGTATATTTGATGATTTCTTCTCTTATTATGAACTAGCTTCTCATGGTTAAAAAAATAAGACATCTGTTGCAGTCGTTCTGAGCTATGCGCATATCTACAGTATATATTTTTTTGTTATGTTCTTTAATTCTTTGTGCTTACCTATAGCTATTATTATATACTTACCCCTATTTTCATTCTCTCACTATCTTTTGTATTTTTTTTGTTGTTTTACGCATTAAAAATTTCAATCCAATCGGTCAAGCCGTTTATAAGTTGACATATTGACAGCAGCGCCATCATCGAAATACCCATATTGAATTTCAACTCATCGCTTCAACCATAAGAATAATGCAATTTCCCGCGGTAAAAAGTACCCTATGTCCATCAAGGATAATGTCGGCTTCCAATGGTGAAAGCATTTTTCAAATCGGGCAGTATAGTTTCGGAGCCAATTCAATGAGAACAAACAGATATTGTATTTCATTTTTGGAATTTGAGCAGGTATAGTAGGAACATCCCTAAGAATTATAATTCGTTCTGAATTAGGAAACCCTGGAACTTTAATTGGAAATGATCAAATTCCTCTTTAAAATATCAGTATTGATGTGTTAAATTGAAAATAATCTCTCCTCTTGCTTCAGAAGATTTCTCAGAAAAAGAGAGCATATTGAATTTATCCACTTATTTACCAGAGCATGGAATTTATTGGACGCACTGTATACAATCCACATCTGTAAAATATTCTTGAATTCAGCTCTTCATGGTCATTCCAAAAATTCTGTGATATACAGGATGAGTTATAGACATAGCCTAAGGGCCTATTATTTCGACCAAAATATGGCAATAGGACCGAATATGCCTTAATGAAATATTGCTAGAAGTGTGGTGCTCAAAAAACCTAGAAATTCCTCGACTCAATTCGGTTTTCAGCCCAAAGGTAATAAGGCGGATTCCTAATGAAAAAGTCAATCAGAACTTTCATAAAGCTCGATAAATTCCCTACAATTTGAGTATAGTTTCATTTTTATGAATCCAATTCAACGCAAGTTACAGGACCCTAAATATTGGCTTCTTTCTGAAAAAGTTGAAGATTGCAGTTTTGGTCCTCTTCTGATAGAAATATCGGCTCTAATACTCATCGATCGAAATATCTCTAAATAAGAAAGTTTTAGTGTTTATATATTGCTTCAATTTATAAGCGTATAGGCCCAATGGCACCATTGTTATCTTTAAAAAAACTACTTTAGACAAAAATTGGATTTTTCTAGAAGTGAAACCTGACGATTAGATTTATTTTACCATCATGTTCTTAGGAAGCGAAAGAAAACAATCACTCTATATCCATACTATATATCATGTTTTCAATAACCCATATTGGTACCTAATAATAATGTAGAAATCAAAGGATACGTGAAAAATTGGAGAAATGAATCTGTATGTATAGTTCAACTAGCCAAAGAAGTGCTAGAACGAAATGCAGAGTGAGAAGGTGTTCAGTCCTTGAAGCTTAGAGTATCTGAACAATTCGGTTTTGCAGATGACGACGGTCACATTAAGTCCTGAATGGTATGACTAGCTGCACTTTTGAATTGATACCATCATTTCTATCGAGCGCTTTTTCAAATGGACACATAATGTGCTCTGGGCTCATACTATTTACGGCGGTCATCTTTCAGATGCCAGACTATACATTTGAATCATGCAAGTCTTTGATGTAAAGGGGAGATTATTCAAAATCATATTTTGGAGGTCCCAGGTTCTTCGCTGTTTTGTCGAAGAGGACAATCGATGGGAGCCGAGTCTCCGATATCGGTCTCATCGTTGAAATCGTTCATTTCGATGGCTGTTTATTCTGGCATTATTTGCTTGGACAATTTGAGTAGAGTTCCTACCACACGAGACCTGCTTTCCTGCAAGTGCACCCACTCCTGCAGACTTTCTTATATTGGGATTGGAAACAGGTCCTGCTCGCTCTTCGTCCATCCCCATGTAGTTGGCTCCTTGTCCATCCCTAACCACATATCTACCTGATAGTATGTATGGCAGGAATGTTGAGCCGCTGCTTTTTCGGCTGGGGGTATACGAGCCAGGTTCACTTTAGCGATGGCTGCTGAACGAACAAACAACTTGTACCGGAAAGCATGGAGTTTGTCGTCTTCTTCCCCTCCGCATAGAGCAACAAGGCAGCTCGAGCCAGCGGTGGCAACCTCTTCGTTCGTGTCCCTAGGCTTCACCAATGTGGTGACCATGTTCATCAAGGCAACATTTTTCTCCAAGGCACTGAGCATGTTGTTCTTTCCTTGCCAGAAAAGGGAGGTAGTATTATAACCGGTAAACGCTTGGAGGAAGAACTCTAATCCAGGACGATAGGGAACTATCTCGCGGTTGAACGACTTACTGGAAAATTGTAGAGGCCCACAGTCACCCCTGTCACTTTTTCGGAAGAATATAGAATATTACTTTCATAATCTTTATAAGGAGCATATTCATTCCAAACAATATTTGAATGAAGGAGATTTGATAATCGAAAATTTGGAGTAGAAATATAAAAGAAATCAAGTTATAACAGTGAAAAACAATGATGGATTAAGGTAACAAATAGAAAAAAAGAAAGTTGAAAAACAAATTGAAACAACAGGATTTAGATACCAAGATTAGAGTTAGCAAAACTCTAGTTCCTATGAGTTAAATCAAGTACATATATTAACTATATTTTCAATATTCAGAATAGGTTGGTAAACAGCAGATCTAATCGTCAGGTTCCATTTCTTAAGTATTGACTATAGTGCTTTTTTATTAACAATGTTGCGATTGGCAAAATTACAATTGTAAAGTTATAGTGAGTTTCAAATTGGATGCTTGCAGATGTTTTTTGGCAGCAAGTATTTTGGGAAGATTCACAAACAAGTTTTTCAATGATGCATTCACTAAGCTTATGGCAAACTTGTGTAATTTACCGTGTTCAGTGTGGTAGAACTCATTCTTTCAAAGGATGGCAAAACTTTGGAATTTTCTATTGAAGAAAGTATTCCCAAGAACTTATAACCTCAAAAAAATTAAATATCCAATACTCACCTTATCTTCATATCCTCCCTAGGTATGATATATTCCTCGAACATAATAAAGATTCCTTTTCGTGTGCTTCAAAAGATGAAATAGTACTTTGATAAAACTATCCCTGTAATCTTAACATGAAGTTATCCTTATTAATCTCCATAATTTTCAATATTTGAAATTAATTACTAGATCACAAGTTGGTAATGGATACTTTTTTCTAAAAATATTGCAATCGAAAATTTTTTAGGTAGGATTTTTACCGGTTTCAGGAAATATCATAGCATGTTTCCAAGATGACTTGATCCAAGTATGGAGTTTTGGAAAATTTGAAACTCTAAAACAATTTCTTCCTAGTAATTGGAAAAACCATACAGTGAAAAGTATAACATTCACCAAGTGAGTATGCACCTATGTTAAAATTGACTGAAGTATAATAATTTAATCTCGATTAAGAGTGCTTAAAATATCTGAGGTTGAATGCTTTTCAAAGAGTAAGTACACTCTTGTCATGTCTTGAAACATCTTAAGAAATAATATGAGACAGGAGTCTTTTTTATAAGACATACTTACCCCTTCATTGAACGAGTTCAGACATATTTTTCACAGAGACTCAGACAGTAGCGTATTATTGAAGGCATATTATTCTGTTTGATGCTTTTGTAGAAAGACATTGCCTGTCATTTATTGATAACTGACAAGATATCCTGATAATATACAAATATGTTCATGCAAAGGTAGCAAAATAAGAAAATAGTTCATTCATTAGACATTCAGAATATTTTGTAAGATTGAATGAGCACTTTGTTCTAATTGACGGTTTATATTTTGTTTGGGACTGTCAGGTTTCTCGGTTGTCCTTAGAGATAGAGCCTTGCGGTTTTCACGTTCCTGCCCTACTTTTTTGTGAAACCCAAGATGGCCTATCAGACTTTGTATAACTGTTTCCGTTCAAGAGAGACAGGGCGATTATGAAAATTCATACTTTTTGGACCCTTCCTATATCTATGAAGTTATTGAATATAATGTTGTGCTAAGAACTACGTCTAACAAATCATTTTGAGCAAAATTCAGTGGCGTACTCGAAAGTTTTTTTCGAGGTATGGTTTTGGAGATACGACACAAACTAATATTTTTCAATTGAACACCCTGTAAGGGAAAATTAATAGAAAACGTATTATATGTTGTTGAATCATAGATTTTCCGTCTCCAGGATGATTCTCCGGACCAACGAAATAATCAGGGTACAGCCAATAATCAGGCTAGGAAGAGACTTGTGTTAAAAAATGTACCTGGAGGCCACCAGATTTATCTATTCTTGACCATATAACGTTATTCACAATGTAATTATTGTTATGTTGAGTATCTCAAAATGTTGAGGAAATAGCAAAGTTTGTTTCACTATCATCTCCAGGAAGCACCATCAGATTATTATATTCTGAATGTCCCTTAGCCGAGGGGTAAATCTCCAGGAAAAATGTGTACACCAGACTTCCAATGAACAAATACTCCCAAAAGACTTTCAAAAGACATCCTAAGACCTCCAAAGACTACCAAAGACATCCAAAGATTTCCAAAGACTTCCAAAGACTTACAAAGATTTCTAAAGACTCCCAAAGACTTTCAAAGTCTTCCAGAGACTTCCAGAGGCTTCCAAAGACTTCCTACGGAGTGTACACCAGACTTCCAAGGAGATTTACCCCTCGCCCTTAGCTGACAGTCATGATTGACATTTCACGATAATAATAATTTTTCACGAAATAAGAAGTTTTCAAGTTATATGAACCTTATATTTTTGAAACATGTGCTAGGACACAGTGAGAAAATTAATATATAAACCAAGTTACAGAGAAATTATTATCTCACTTTCTTGGTGCTCAAACATCTCCAGAACTTATAGATCCCGACTTTAAAAAATCCTTCTGTACCTTGATTTATATTGACGAATATCAGAAATGTTGGTAGGAATCCAGCACAAAATATCACACTACGTCATCATGTTGATTGTAGATCTGATATTCGTCCGATATATTTTGTTTGTACGTTTGAAATAAAACGATTGAGAGACTTGACTGTAACAGTGGCTTCATTTTGCATACTCCTGGTACAGATTTTTTTCTTCACTCTCTTTGAAGTTTTCTGCGAATCTAGTGCTTCTTTTTTCCTACTGTTACATGCACAAATATTTTTGCTTCTCCGAATAAGAGGTAGTTATTGAAGAGGAAAATTCCCAGATATATTATGAACATGAAAAAAATTGATACATAGCAAGAAATACATTGAGAATTCGCATTCTTTCTCTTTGATAAAAATATAAATTCTTTCTAGTTATATTCAGCGTAAAACAACTACTTTCCTGGATATATGCCACGACGAACATTTAATTGCATCTATTGATCAAACTTAATAAGAATTTGAAAATATAGAAATCTGGAGATGATCATTTGAATTCACTCGAATAAAAAATATCTAATATATGAATATATTATGGTCAGATTCTATTAAAAATTGGAATCTGGAGGTTTTAGAGGTCGGAGATATGAATCATTTGTCAAGAAGGGGAAATTCAAAATGGTGGATCCAATATGGCGGACGAGTTTTGTAATTATGGTCAAATTCTATTCAAAATTGGTTTTAGGCGTCGGAGATAATGATTCTTTTGTCAAAATTTGGAAATTCAAGATGGCAGATCCAATATCGCAGACGAGTTTTGTAACTATGATCCGATGCCATTCAAAATTTGTATCTGGGTGATTTTTGGGTCGGAGATTATGATTCTTTCATAAAAATTAGGAAATTAAAGATGGAGGATCCAATATGGACGAGTTTTGTAATTATGATCCGATTCTATTCAAAATCTGTATCTGGGGGTTTTCCGGGTCGGAGATTATGATTTTATCCTTAAAAATTGGGAAATTCAAGATGACGGATCCAATATGGTGAAAGAGCTTTGTAATAAATAGTAGTTTGTGAAACTATAATGAAACACGCTTTTATAGATAGCCAAAATCGAGGCCAAACTGAAAAGAAGTAGAAAATTGATAGTATAGTTTGAAAAACGAGATAGATTGTTGAACTAAAAAGAAGTAGAAAATAAAAATAGTAGTTTGAAATACTAATGAAACATTATTTCATGTATATCCAAACTAAAGAGAAGTTCAAAACAAAATAATAAAAGTTCCCAGGTAGCAGAGTGACGTCCAATTGAGGTCATTTTTTGGTCATAAAATGACGAAGTGGACGTCCAAAAATGACGTCTGAGAGACCCTATAATGACGTCAAAATGTCACAGCCATATGACGTCATTCTTAGACGTCATAATGACGTCGCAGAATGACCAATAAAGGACGAATTAAAAAAAATTAGGAGGTTTATATATATACGGTAGTATTATTGGTACATACTAATTAATACACCACAAACCTTTGCTGACATTCATTTTGTAACTATACGTTGTGGTAGTAACTTGGTTGATGGTCCTCCCGGGCAGTCCTGTTGAATCCTAGCGCTATCGCTACTACCTATGAATCTCTATATGACAATATCGTTAGCTACTCGTATTTGTACCTAAAATTATGTAGCGAACGTCGGCGAGATGTAAGCTGAATAAACTTATTTTTAGCTAAACTATCCATTTCTGAGAAATCCTCTGCAGCAGGTCGATTTTATTTCCGATTTGCCACATTTGAAAGTAAGAATCATATATATACAGGGTGATCCACGTTTAAGTTAAGACGTCCGCGGCAATTTTTTCAATAATTGGAAACAATAATAACTTATATTAGATACATTCAATTTTTGAAATATTCATGGAAATCTGAATTTAAAAATATATTACACATAGGGTTTGTATACAGTGTGTCCGTTAAATTGAGTCATCTCGCGTGAAGTAAATAAAGTAGCCAATCAATGTATTTATAACCATACAATTCCTTGCTGAGGAATCTCCCAAAATAGGTCGATTTTCATTTCAAATTACCAACATTATTGAGAAAAAATTGAATATACAGGGTGATTCAAGTTTGAGTTACAACGTCCGCGACCATTTTTTCAAAGGAACACCCTATAAATTATTCGATTTTTGGAGTCTCTATGGAAAGCTGGATTCGAAAATATATGAGTTTGTATACAGTGCATGTGTTGGATTAAGTTATTTTGCAAAGTTGCGAATAAATTTGTTGAAAATTAAAAAAATATTTTTTTTTTTCAGAGGATAATGCTCGAAGCCGTAGAATTTCATTTTCATTCAAGCTTTATCTCATATTAAATCAATATATACAGAATGATTCGTGTAGGAGAAATTACGTCATCTTTATATTTTAATGGCGATTCAATTTAACGAGAGAACTGAATTTAACAAACGCCCTGTATACAAACCTTCTGTCTGATATACATTTGATAACGAAAATTCAATAATATATATCCGTTTGAAAAATGCGTAGAGTACGTCATGATACAAACGTCTATCATCCTGTATATTTGATGATTCCTCCGTATAAATGTCGAATTATAAATGAAAGCCTCTCCTGTTTTCTCAGAAATACATAAGATTGATAGATATTGGATAATAATGAATTTATCCACTACTTCACGAGAGCATCTAATTTATTGGACGCACTTACCTATACAATCCACATGATTGTGTTAAACATTTTCGAATTCCGCTATCCATGGTTATTCCAAAGATTGAGTAATATATATAAGGTGCTCTATTTTAAAAAAATTTCGTTATGGTCATAACTCAAACGTGAATCACCATGTATGTATATTCAATTTTTCTCATAAATATATGGCAAATTGAAAATGAAAATCGACCGTTTTCTTCAGCAGATTCAGAAGTATGCATAATTGGGCTGAAAATAAATTTGTTCATCAGTACTCACGAAAACACTGTATATACAAACACAAATTTAGTACGTACAATTGACAAACGATGAAAAAGTAAGAAAGCGACTGATTTTTCTTATTTGGTCGAATATACGACTTTGTAGGGACGTCATTAAGACGTCCAATATTGAACGTCAATAAGACGTCATGAAATATGACGTCATTTTTTGGTCCCTCTGAAGTCGAGGACGTCATTGACCAATAATGACCTAAAAAAGACGTCATTATGACGTCATTCCACTAACCTGTGCTACCTGGGTTTGTTGATGAATATTTAACTAAAAAAATATTTTCTAGAAGAAAATGTATATAGCAAAACAACGTGTGCCAGGTATCAGCATCAGCTATTGTGATAAATAGTAGTTTGAAAAACTAATGAAACACGTTTTTATAGATAGCAAAAGTAAAAAGAAGTGATTAGTAAATAAATGAAAAAATGAAGAGATATGAGTGCCGAACTAAAAAAGTAGAGAATCAGTAGAATAGTTTGAAATACTAAAGAATCCCGTTCTCATGGATAGCCGAACTAAAAATGAGGATAAATGAAATAATGAAAGTTCTTTGATAAATATTTATGTAAAATACATTTTTTGTTGGAATAATGTTATGGCAATACAACGTTTGCCGGGTCAGCTAGTATATTCATTTATATAATCTCATTCGGGATATTCAACAGAAAACAATGATCCTGGCTATTTCTATTTCTTTCATTGAACATTGAATTACATCTGCTAAACACCCAAGATGAGGTTATAAATGATGGAAATTTGCTTTTATAGACCTACTATCACAGATTCGTGATTGGGCTTTCTCAATTCAGATTATTTCTCCACGCCAATTGTACAACTGACAAAGAGGTAGTTTTTGAATGTATGACAAATTGATATTCGTCATTCAGGATGTGGAAAGAAATTCTGAATTGAAAAAACCTAAACACGAATCTGAGATTGAAAGTCTATAAAAATAACAAGTTTCCATCGTTCAAGTTTGATCACCTTGATTAGATGAACATTTGAAAAGGAATATTCTCAGATAAATCATGAACATGAAACATGGATTTAGAGAAAAACATTGTGAATTCGCATTCTCTATGTGATGAAAATGTCAATTCTTCCTCGGTTTACCTTCCTGGCTATATGCCAGGACGAACATCGAATTTTATTATTGAACACACAATAAGAATTTGAAAAGAAAAGTTGAGAATTTTCATTTCCCTTCAGATGAGAATATGTATATCATTCTGAATATTCAACAGAAAACACCTACTTCCTGGTATTTGCCACGTCGAACATTGCCTAAGTGATTTCATCGTCCTGTAATAATAACATCAATAGAACATTTTGAGAATAATCACAAAATAATCTTTGTAAATGAATAAGAACCACATATTTTCATATAATATCGTACTGTCACTAAATTTCTATTGACAGATATTCTACTTCTGAAATACCTACATGATTCATGAACACTAATTGACATTTAATTTGTAATTTAGTTTCAGAATTCATGTACTTGCTATACAGGGTGTTCCTTGAAGACATGCTAATATTATTCAAGGGGGTGATTCCTCAACTCATTTCAAGAAAAAAACTTCCCACTATGTCCTAAAAGTCTCAACTTTCGAGATACAGGCTGATGCAGTTTTGAAAAAGACAGTTTTTTGATAATAGCTGAGATAATATTGTAGACATATTTATGAAATTTGGTATATATCTTCTATTCATTTTTTGATGTACACAAATTTTCCTTTTCTCTACCAGTGGCGCCGTTAGAGGGATATGATTGATTATAGTATACTTGAAAGTGAGCAACGAAGGAATATTTCCAAATTTGATGAAATGCTATAAACAGTAATTCAATTTTGTACAAAAAAGATCCTCTTATTGTTGATACCCGATAAGACGTTCCGTTCTCGAGAAAAAACGGAAAAGCGAGATCAAACTTCAAATTTTGATGTAAATGCTAAACTTGAGTACTCCATTCAGGACACCCATTACTGGATAACCACAGTATGTAACATTTTGAAATTATTGTACCGTATTAGTCACATAGCAGAATAAATTTCGCCATCAGGAAAAGCTATACAGGGTGGACAAAAAAAGAATCTATGTATATGTTGAAGTTTGATACCCTGTATCTCATAAGTTAAAAATTTTACGACATGAGTTCATATGAAGTTTCATTCTTGAAATGGGTCCAAGAATCGCTCCCTTGAATATTAGCATGTCATTAAGGAACACCCTGTATATTAAAACCCCAATCACATGTTAATGTTAATGAGTTCGAAATTTCGTTAAGTATAGATAGGAAATATGTGTCTTATTTTGCAATCATAATAATAGTGAGGTGTATAATAAAAATGTGTGGCTACAGTGCGTTTTTCGTAGTAATTTTCTCTTGGTGCTACTATAATCCACAGGGCCGCTTGCAAATCTTTGAAATTCAATTCAACATCGTGTGTGAGATATGATAAGGAAAAACTATTGACATTACAGGATTATTGAAGAAATAATAACCAATGCCGAGAATGAACAATGACGTCAAATGAACAGTTTCATGTATGCGTAAATTTCATTTTCCCTTGTACATCATTTTAATTACATTCGAGCAGTGGATCTCACAATTGAATATTTCAAAATTCAACAGTATAACGGGTGTCAGCGAATCTATAAGACATGCCAAAACTTCTACAATATTGGGTGTATCAAAATGAAATTTGACATGATTATATGGTGTGCGCAAAGAAAAGTTTTCGCATAATTTTCACATCCCGGTAACTTTTGGGCTGTACCAGAAATCACTCCGGATATGGATTTTTCAATGGAACACCCTGTATATTGTAATATTTTTGCATTCCTGAGACAATTCTGGATCGGAATATTACATTTTCAGAAGCTTACTTACTTTTTTTAGAGTCACTAGTAGGCGTAAAAATTTCTAAAAATGTCATATTCTGATCCAGAAATTCAAAAATGTTATATACAGGGTGTTTCATTTGAAAATTCAAAACCGGAGCCATGTCCGGTTAAACCGGAAATGACCGGAAAGTGAAAAATATACGAAATCTTTCCTCTTCACTTATTATGTTGAGTTATGGCTTGTCTAATATGTTCGTTGACACCCGATATATAGTATTTATTTCAATACTGTGTTATGGTTAGTTACCTAAAACCCATTTAAGATGTAATATTAATTTGCAGAAATGGAGAGATCATGGTGGTATCTGGATACCTATCCACCTTAGCTGTATTTCACTTGGGAAACTGGAAACTCTTGAAATTAATATCATTGCCTGATAACATACATACTATCAGACATACTGAATTCCTGTCACAACCTTTCGATGGAGGTTGTAATAAAATTCTAGTTGTTCTATCTGGACAAGGTTCCATTCACTTCTTCGACATAGAACAAAATGTTATATTGAGCCAACTGGCCTCAAAAAGTGAAATCATCAATGCTGTATGCTCCCCCAATGGAAATTTCATGGCATGCACTTTGTGTTCAGGAGAAGTTGAAGTTTATAATTTGGAACAGTATGTGGCTTCTCCAATAGATGTAAAAGTTCAAAAACCTAGTAAAAATGCCAAGGTCAGTAGGAGGTGTCTGGGGGGCATAGAAATGGTGAAAGAAAAGGTGAGTACTTTGTCAAAATAATCAACTTACCAAATGATATCTAAATCTATGTCATTACATAGAGATGGTTAATACATTTTATAATAATTACCAGGTCAATAGAAAATAGTTATAATGATATTAATGAAACAGTTTTGACCTTTTTTTTTTTATTGTTTAGATTTCAGGTTGAAAAGAGTGCGTGAGCAGGTACCTTAGCAATTTTTCTAAAAACTCTTTCCAGATGTTGAGTCAACATACTGAAAGCCGTGACGTCTAGGAGGTGAGCCGGTGGAGGGGGCAGTAGGAATGTTCCGTTTTTGGGTTTATCGCTTATATGTCGGAAACAGTTCGTCGTAGCAAAAATTTGCTAAATATCAAATGAGAAGTGATCAAATTCTTGACAAATTTCTTACTATACACTTTTTTCGAATCTCCAACCGTTTTCGAGCTGCACGCTCCTTGATTCATATCGTCTGAACTATTCATTTCCTTCAAGAAATGTAATGGAGAATTCAATTTCTTTCATGAACGTAAGTATGTACATATATGCGAATTTGTCGTCATGCTAGTCAACAACAAAAATATTGTTTTTCCACCACTAACTTGAGAAATCACTATTATTCGAGGATTTCCTCTTATGAGAAGTAATACTTTTTAAACCTAGGTAAATAATGACTAATTGATAAATAGATTTCACTTAGGTAAAACAAAACTGTTAATAGTGTCAATGATTTTATTCAATATACACACAGATTCCGATGCGTATGCAACCATCGAAAATGATACATTCCTAAAACCAAATATAGTCGAAACTACAAATCTCGTTTACAGCTGAAAGAAACTTTTGAAGTATAAAAACTGTTTGGAATAGTCTGAGTCTAATAAAAATGTCACAACACAAATCATACGTGAGGTATCACTGTCATGTGTGGATAAGACAAGAATTCCAACAATCATTACTTTCGGTAAGGACACATTTCTTGACCAATCGAAAAAATTTCAGCTATGGTGGTCGGTAAGATATGATGTACCACTGCAATGATTGTTCAATGGTATCATATGCCATATTCATAAGGTTTGAATATTTCAAAACATATTAATGAATACCAAAATTTTAATATCTACTCGCAGTAGTTATCAGTATCCTTCCTAGCTTCATTCAGGTGGGGTACAAGCTTCCTTCTAAAACGAATGTCACTGAAATTTTCACTCGGTTTTGTAGTTATTCACAATTGCCCTTGGGATTTGAGTACAGCGTTCAATTTGTGGCAGCCAAGTTTAATTTCCTTTCAGTTTGTTTGACAACTGAACTCCTAGGCTATACTTGATATATCAAAATTCAAGTAATATGCTGAACAATGCTGAATATACACGGTGGATGGCACTGCTCCATCAATGAAAATAAAGATCTGAATTGATAAAAGATGTTGATTTCTCTGTGTTTTTAGTGAAGAGAAAAAAAAAATATCGGGTGATAATGCTATTATATATTATATAGCTTCGCGCCTCTTGATATAAATGTGCTTCTTGCTATATAATAGCATAATAGCTCACTTGTATATAGGTGCATAATATACAATTGTTGAATACTAATGTGATGCCACATTTGAAAACAGGTTATTTCATGCTGTAGACCAGAATAATTCAACTTGAGGAATAAAAAATTGTATTATGAAGATGATGAAACAAGTCACATATTACATGTTGATAGACCTAACTGCTTGAAGAAGAGCTGTATTGCTGGTGTCCTATATCATTTGAGAAAGCACTTCTTTCCTGCCTCTTCAACCTAGTGAGTGGAGTAGAGATGGTTGAACATATCTGTAGCTTCTTCAATGATTTCTTATTTCAAGTACAATTCTGAAAATTTCACATTGCTCCTTCTGAACGTTGCAGATGTTGTGTCATAGCAGGTGAATGAGTGTAAGAACAGGATGTGTTAAATTCCATGTTGCTGCATCTATTGGTTGGACATTGTCATTATTTTGATTTTTCCTTGTTCGAATTTCAGCATGATGTCTTGAATAGTAGAAGTTTTAGCAATCAAATGAACAGCGAGTTGCACATCTTCGGATTTCGATGAAATATGGACAGACTGGAACCTTTGTCACTTACCAAACGGATATAGGCCTCGACACGACCGTGTTTAGAACTTTTAATTTTCTACTGAAAATGCTAAGTCAGCGAATCACACAAAAAATCGGTTTTGTTAGTGGTAAAACAGTGTAGTGTAATAGAATATAGGTTATGTTTTTCAGGGTCATGCTTTTGAGGAACACCCTGTGAAATTTTTGATAATGTCTGCATCTTATTTTATTTTTATTTTGTTGAAAACTAACGTGGTCTCTTCGATAGATTACCAAGTACTTATTCATATGTTATTATAGGTCGAGAGGTATACGGCCAGATAATTTCCTGGATAGCTCAAGATTGAAACCAAAAACAAATAATTATATTGATAATACAATTTGACAATTTGTAAAATTTTTTCAATGAACAATAAATCTTAAAATTAGTATTTTTGGTCACAACTTAGAGAGAATTAGAAAAAATAATCATTGTTGCTATGTATTCATACAATGGGCGGGTGGACTTATTATGAATTATCGGCATTCAATTACTACACTGTGTCGTTAGGAACCTAAATCAATTTTTGCAACACTCCTCACATTTTTTTCATGTAAATAATGATTGTATGCGTTGTTCGAAATTGTTGAATTCCGGAGCACATTTCAAACGTACCGTCATGGCCACTATATGGCAATACGTCGAATAAATGGTGACCTCAGCTTTTATGCTGTTTCGTTATTGGTCAGATAATCTTCCATTCCCACTGACGAAGCAAGGTTGTCAAGTCACCAATTATAATCAAGTTATCAAAGAGATGTTTGAGTCCTGTCGTCGAATAAAACCTAATAGGAGGAACCAATGATATTATAGTTCATTTTACTCACGAAATTGTGACATCAGTTTTTACTTGCGGTAAATTTCTATATTTTTGAAAATTACCGTGGCATTATTGATGATATTCGCACTTAGAAATCGACCGAAAAATTCTAAAAAAATATGAAATTGGAAGGTATTTGGGTGATGATTATATTTGAGGATTACAAAAAAAGTACATTCGCCTATTGTTAAATAGCAATTTTTGTAAGTTATAAATGTATGTTTCTCATTGCTCCTCATATTAGATAAGACATTGATATTTACTGAAGACAATTCGGCAGATGCTTGGGATGAATTGTTGGCAGTTTATTATCATGCATGTTTCTCATTTTGTTGATGATATCCAGATGATGAGTTGGATCTATCTGGAGATATGGTTTGATAATAGTTGCGTTATAATGCCCTGTGATTTTTTTGTACTTAATGGTTAGTTCTTTTTGCTTTCTTAATTCCGATTCTCTTGGGTCCATTTTGAAATTTGATATTTGCTTATCGGACAATTTTTGTGCCAGCTAGTAGATCCGTTTTTATTTCGAAAAGGATTCGGATTCAAGAATAATCTACTTTAATATCATGGCCTCTTTGCTGAGATGCTTTTTAAACAATCTTACAGTACAAATTTCTTTTTCTGTTGTATTCCGAACTAACCATTTGCTTTCTGTGAGATTTTTATCGTCTCCCTGTGCTGTCTTACTGAATATGGGATTATATTCTTTTCTACCTACAACAAGAAAAAAATTATATACTTCCAGATAAAAAAATAATTTACCTGTATAATCTTTTTCATGGTAGACTTCTTCTTCAAAGTAACTTATCAAGCAGAAAGAGGCTTCTCAACCTATCAACCCACGCTGATTCAACGGCAGTTATATTGTATAATTTCCCTCGGGAGTATTCTCGTCCCACAACTCAACTATTTTCATATATGTTCTTCAAAATTTAACGCAGAAGAACTTTCCTTCATTTTTATTGGGTTTTGTTGAATAATTCTGCGCTTCGCATTTCTTGCATAACTGGCAGTTTTAAAAGTTATATCTTTGAATGGATCGAAACTTACATTAAATTTAACGTGGTTCATTTCTTGCAGTTTTTTTTTGCTACGATATTCCACATTGTCTACACCACACCTTCTTTATATTGTGTTCCGTCTTACGCATATTCTACCCCCAGTCTTTTAATATTGTAGGCAGTTCATCAACTCGTATTTTCCAAATGGTAGCCTTTCATCTCACAAGACTCGGAAAACTGTCGCCATATAGAGGCATGAGTTTTTACAGTGTTAGTTGGTAAACTTTCATGACTTGCCAGTTCTATACCATCACACGAAATATTACAGAAACGTTAAGTCATTTTCAATAAATCGTTGAATCAATTCAAACGACTTTTCAAAATGACACTCAATTGATAATATTTGTGTTTCTATTACATTGGTTACCCAACTGAACAATGCATCATAGCAAAGTAAACATGTAAATATTTCAAATTCTGACTATTTTTATCTCCTTATGTCAAATTATTTGTATCAACAATCCATCAAAAATGTAATTCTTAACTGGTAATAATCATTATCAGGTCACGAAAGCGATTGAGAAATTCATGTATTTTCATAGACTGTTGCCGATATAGTAAGAATCAGTGATAATCGACAACACGAAAATTATTCCCAGATGTGGAGAACCTTACTCTTTATCGTATTGAGTGTTGTCTCGAAGTGAGATATCATATATACCAAGATGAAATCAATATCATCAGTCTGGATCATTTTGTGATCTCTTCATTATCTGTGATTGGGCTGCTGGTTGTTGATTTCGTAGCTGAAAGCTGCGCTGAAAAATTGAATGATTTCAATATCTATTACCCAATCCAAAACATGCAACTTTCTACAAACCTATAGTTATTCTTGAAATATAAGTGTATCTCCAAGTAGGTACTCTTTGAATTACGTTCCGGAAAGAGATTCATGATTCATATGTAATAATAGCTTATACATCTTCAAAGCTCTAATATGATTATATTCATGTATCTGCCAAATATTTCCAAACTATCATTGCATATATTTGTCCAATGGTGTTTGTTGAATTATTATCCAAAACAGGAAAATTATTAAGCTGTGCAAGTTTGTATATACCTATGTCTGTTTCTTATTTACTCTGCATTTAGTCTTCTTCCCTTCCATTTTGTATAAAAATTCACTGGAAAACCAATTACTAACTGAACACAGTACTAAAGTGATGAAACAACATAAAAAAGAAACTAATATACGCCATACTGCATAATTGTTTGCCACTATGTGCCACTTAGTGCATAGTGGTATGCCAGTGCAAAATTATCAAGATGTAAACTCACGCGAGCGAGGGATTCCAACTTAGATAAAAATCAGTGATGATGGCACACTCAGTCGCAATTTTAATGGCCCTTGAACCTGGATTCATACAGCGGAAGACTAGCGACTGGAAAACAGAGGCTTATCATAAGTATGTGTACATTCTGTCTTCTTCCCATAATCTCTCCAAACTGTACGGCGTGCCTTTCAGAGCATGCCGACATCGACATTTGCCCGCCGTTCTCGGCATGGGCCCGGTTTTCTGCCGCCTTCTGATCATTCTGGATTATCACGATGAGGCAAATAGTCTTGAAGAACATTTTATTCTGTACAACGTTTTCGACTGAGTTTCTCTCTGGAACGAATCATTTAGAAATTATGAAGAAATGTATAATGAAAAATTTCAGATAATGATCTTTTATTTAAAAAAATCTACTTTCCGGATCGTGCTACTTGAAAACGGTTACAGAGATTCGAGAAAGAAAGTTTTGAGGAATTTTATCAGCTCTCCATTTCATATCAGGATTTTGTTTTCTATGACGAACTGTTTTCGACATATAAAAGAAATTCCTAGAAGCGGAACCGTTCTGCCTCCCCTCCTTCACTGGCTCACCTCCTAGATGTCAGGACTTTTAGGATGTTCACTCTCTAAACACGTCAAATAAGTTTATGAAGAATCGCTTAGATCCCTGCTCACGCACTATACATCCACCTTTAGGTTATTCATTGATTAGACTAATAAGTATGTATCTTTTCCATGATATAAGGCGAACTCTATTCCATCCTGCATTTTCGTGACACCGCTCTGAGGAGGTAGGTAATTATCAATAAACATTTTTATTGAATTGTAGATTGATCATATGTTGACCAATGAAAAGTTGAAGTCTGTATTGAAAGAATATGGCGAATTTCCACAAACACACAGGCTGAAAATCTGGGAAAAGTTATTACAGCTACCAAACAACATTCAACAATACAATAGTATCATAAACCATGTGACACTGATGGCATTTAAGGACCTCAACTCAAATTATCCTTTAGAAAGCAAACTTTCTCTGAAAGACTTGAAGAAGCTTCTCAACAATATAGTTACTTGGTGTCCGTTTTTTGCGAATGTCGACTATTTTCCTGTATTCGCCTATCCATTTGTGAAAGTTTTTCAGAATAAACCGTTGGCCTGTTTCGAGGCAATTTGCACCATTATTTGTAAGTAAAAACACTAATAATCGATAAATAATTTCATCATCTTTTTTGTTTCAAGTAAATTGGTGTCAACATTGGTTTGAATATTTTCCTCTTCCACCTGTCAATATCCTAGCAATGGTTGAAAACCTCCTTATGGAACATGATCCTGAGTTGTTGCATCATTTTGCGACAAATGACATAACTTCGAATATATATATTTGGCCTCTGCTCGAAACTGCATTTTCAGAAGTGCTCACTTCATCAGAATGGCTGATATTCTGGGACCATGTACTCATCAACGAAGTTTCATTTTTACTATGTGCTAGTGCAGCATACAGCATTGTTCAAAGAAATATTCTGATATCATTGAAACAATCTGAGGAATTCCAGTATTTCTTTCATAATCAGAATCCAGTTGATATGAAGAAGTTCTTGAAGATAACTTATTGCATACTGAATAGCACCAGTGAGAGAATTCATCCTAGACAGTATTTGCAACCATTTGGTAGCATTGAGGAAGGCAACTATCCTCTTTTCATTGAGTATCCTAGAACTATCGTGGAATTTGAGACTGATAGGATGAAACAGCTTGATGGAGAGTTGACTGAATTAGAAGGCGACAAAAAGAAATTCATGGAACAGGAGAAGAGTAAGAAGTTGGACAAATCCAACAATGAGTTACAGAAGGAACAATCCAGGAGAATGGAAGGTAAGTGTATTTTTGCTACTCATATGAGTGAGGCCAAACACGGTAGTGGGAAGAAAAACGTTTCCGTATCGTTGTATACTGGGACGTTCGATTTCCACATAATATATTCGTCATTGTAAAGTGTTTATGGAAAGTAACCAGTGTTTCTCTGAAAATAACTTCAGCAAACATTTTTTTCATGTTCTTTGCCCAGAGGGTTAATACACAATATACTATTATTATCCAAATGGGATATTTCAAAAAGTATTTAAATAGTTATTTATTATAGGAAGTAAAAAAAAAGAGTAGATTTTACCTCCAGGTTGTAGCGGAGGGAGACAAAAAACCGTGAGCTCAAATCTAATATTTTTCCCGTGTATAATACACTATTTTTCCTATGACAGGAAAAAAGGCGAATCAATATTGAGAAGATATTACATTATATTGAAATCAGAAAATTATCCACGTGAAATTTGAAGTTCTGAACAGTAATGACACCTGCGTTGCAGGCATCTTTATCATTCTTTTGAAGTCATCAAATATCTGTCAGTCTGATTCTGTGATTAATTTACGTAACCGTGAAATCGAATGGAAGAAGAAAGGCAGTTCTTCCTAGGAGACGGTGTTGTTGGCTTTTTTTTCGGAACTATAGCACAACAAAAGCCATCAACAGTGTATATACATGTGATATATAATATGTGGTAAAAATTTACACACTTCTTGCTCGTGGGAAAAAAATAAATAATAGAAAATGACATTTCATAACCTGACAACAGAGATAGAATTTCGAATTATTTTCCCGTCACAGAAGAAAATATTTCTTTTAATCTAGTTAGAAGGTGTTCTTCGAAATCCAAATCATGCAATTACTAATATTTCACCAACCAAATTCAGAAGTAAATTCAATAGAGTAGCATGATTTTCTAATATTTTTATTTATAGTTTACTATTCCATAATAGGTATCAATCGCTAAATTTTTGGACGTTTCAGAATTGAAAAAACTCTGTGAGGAAAGATTAGATATTATGGAGAAAAATGTAAGACGGGAACAGAAAGAATTTCAGGAAATAATGAAACAACATGAGGCAACTACTGATGATCACATTAAGAACATTGACATTGGTGAAAATCGAATCAAGCAGCAGAATGATACCTCTATAAAAAGAAACATAAATGGAACGTGTAGTGATAGACATAGAAGAATATTGGAAGTCAAAGAAAAGTACTTGACACAATTGAAGGATCTTCTGAAATACAAATATGTTATTGATCAAGTATTGAAACATCCTGAATCGGTACCTAGTGATTATGACAATGATATCATGATGAGAAAATATGAAAAATTAGTGGAACATGAGATGGATAAGGCAAGTGTCACATCCTTGAATTTTAAAATTTTTAATTCAATGTTATTAGTGCCTTCACGACTGTTAATGAAAAATGTCAAAAATTAAAATAAAGTTTCTTACTGAAATTGAGACTATGGTGCCATACACCTTTGTTTTCGCCACAATGTATGAGTGGAGGAAAATAAGTTCAGTACAGAGTAACTCATGAAACCTCACAATTTTTGATCATAAAGTCATCATTATTATTTCCAGATTGACAAATCAGTAGCGTCTTTGCAGAAACTCAAGAAAATGAATATGCAGACGAGCTTGAAAATCATTGATGACTTCATTACAAATATTGAGGATGAAATCAAGATGAAGAAATCAGAAAGTCTTTGTGAATTTCCTGGAAAGAAGGTAAACCTATCTTACATATATGAAAACTAATAATTATGGCATACATTCATGAAAAACTGAAAATATTCCTAGTTATTTATTGATTTTCCTAATATGAGGATAAAACTTGTAAAGAATTCATGTGTTTGTGAATACATTTTATAGTTTTGAAATAATTTCCAGCTTTGAGGAATTTATTATTCTGTTTATAACTAGTAAATTCCGATATAGTTTCCAATATTCCAATAATCCGATATTCCGTTTCATAACCTCCGAAGATTCATATGTATTTGAGATTTGAGTACCTATTTGAATGAAAAATATAGTTAGTCACACTGTAAAGTTCAGGCTGTAGAATATTATCATATAATTGTGAAAAAACTGTTTTATCAAGTGAAAAAACTGTTTTATCAAGTGAAAAAACTGTATATATCTTGAGTGTGGTGTATATTGTATGTGTTCCATTGGAGAAGGCTTGCCATTCAGAGTTTTAAGGTATTTAATTTCCAAATATGATTTTGACATTCATGGAAAAATAGTCTTGTCAATATGTCACAAGACAATTTAAAAATTCTACAGGAAGATCAATGCAATAAAGATTTTGAATTCACCCAAGTGAACTATGACGATGAAGAAAAGACTAGTAATAACTTCACCATTAACCAAACTCTACCTGAAATACAGCTGATGAAGGATAATGAAATATTTCATCTGCAACAAGAAAACGAATTACTAAAAGAAGCACTAAAAGTAAAGAATGACATCATTTCAGATAATGAGAAAGTGATAAAAAGACTCAATAGTCAGGTAGGCTATCTAATAGAAGAATACAATAAAATGATCAAGGAGAGAAATGATAAACAAGATATTATATTGAAGGAGTTGAATTTATTAAATGAAAAACTTGACAAAACTTTAAAAAACTCGAACGAAATTGGAAACAATGGAAAAAGTTATTCTGATATACTCAAAGGTAACAATCAGAAGCAGAATATACCCCCACACAATACTCCAGCATTAATCATAAAACCGAGAAATAATCAAACTTATGAAAAAACCAAAAAAGATATCCAAGCTAAAATAAATCCTGTTACAGCCAAAGCTGGCATAACAAAAATTCAAGAAATTCAAAAAGGAGGAGTACTACTGAAATCTAATTCAGAGGCAGAAATAAAACGTTTACAAGAAGTGACAGAAAAAGCCATAGGAAATGAATATATCATAACAACATCCAAGCTCAGATCACCCAGATTAGTTTTCATTGGAACAAAAAAATATAGAAATACAGAAGAATTGAAGGAAGAACTGCGCATATTCAACTATATAGATGATGAAGATATTCTGAATATAAAATTTTCCAGACAGTCAAAATACACCAAAAAATATATAATTTATGTGGAAAGTAATGGTAAAACATTTCGAAAGTTAGTTAACAAAATTATAGTTCTTGGATGGCATAGGTTCAATATTAGAGAAGATTTAAATATAATGACATGTTCCAATTGTAATGCTTATGGGCACCTTGCAAAGGATTGCAGAAATCCCTTGAGCTGTTCATTTTGTTCTGGGAATCATAAAAGTAATGAATGTGATAATCATAATAGCCCTTGTTGCATAAATTGTAAAATCGCAAATGATAAATTCAAAGTAAATAATACATATAATCATACTTCTGATAGTGATGAATGTCCAATTTTACAAAAAAAAATAGCTTCAGCTAAAGATAGAACAAATTATGAATAATATAAATTTTGGTAAATTCACGAAAATCAATGATCTGAATATACTATACTTAAATATTCGAAGTATGGCTAACAAAATTGATGAAATAGAAGTTATATTGAAAAATAATAGAGAAACTCATATCCTGATTTTAACTGAGACTTGGATGAAATCAAATGAAACAGATTATGTTAATATTCCTAATTTCAATAGTATCCACCATTGTCGTGACGATAAACAGGGAGGTGGGGTGGCAATTTATTTAAAGAATGACCTGATATATCAAAAAATTGAAAGCAATATAAATAAAGAATACAATACCATTGAAATTGATATTTCCCAATTTAATTCCAAATTGAAAATAATTGCCCTCTACCGACCACCGAATTCAAAAATTAGTGATTTTTTTGAATATATTGATAAAACCATGGAGATTCATGAAAAAATTGTTATAATGGGAGATATGAATATCAATCTCTCAGCAGACAGTAATGATACTACTAATTATAGAAACATAATTAATAGCAATGGTTTCCATATCATGAACAAAATTGATGCAATGTATTATACCAGGAAACAAAACAATTGTTTCAGCATTCTTGATCATATTCTTACTAACTGCTACCACCTGAATTTCAACATAGAATTAGAAGATACCTCAATAAGTGATCATAGAATAATATATACATCCATTAAAAAAACAGATATTGTATTGAAAAATTATAAAAAACGAGAAATAATTAAAATTGATTATCCTAAATTCAGAAGAATATTATCTGAAAATCTAAATAAAAGTCAGTGCAGAGAATTTCAAGATTTAATGAATTTAATTTTGGAAGCTAAAGAACTATCTTCTATCAAAACAAACATGAGGATTCGTGAAAACAATGACTGGATCACTAATGCGATAATTCGTGAAATTGAAATTAGGAATAAAAAATTTGAAATATTCAAACGAAACAATCATAATGTAGAATTTCTTACTGATTATAAAATTCAAAGGAATAAAGTTAATGCCATGGTAAAGAGAGCTAAAATTGAATATATCAATGGAAAATTTGAAGAATCTCAAGGTAATCCAAAGAAAATGTGGGATACAATCAATTACTGTTTGAGAAATAAATCGAAAATTTCCGAGAAGGCAGATATTGAATCTTTAAAAATTAATGGCCAAATTATCAATAGCAATCTAGAAATAACTGAGGCAATGAACTCACACTTTTCAAGTATTGGTGAAAATACTGCTAATGAATTGAAACAATTCTACAATTATATGACTACTGACAATATTGCACCACGTTACAATGATTCAACAATACTTCTGATTCCCACTGATGAATATGAAATAATAAATACAATTAGCACTCTTGAAAAAAAATGTCCTGATCCAGAAGGTTTGATTACACGAGATATAATAGAATTGAAAAATATTTTGGCCAAACCACTAACAAAATTAATCAATATATCTTTCACAACAGGTATTTTTCCAGATGAATTGAAAAATACCTCTTTACGGGCTATATATAAAAGTGGTGATGCTCAAAATCCAGTAAATTATAGGCCAATAGCATTATTAAGTATTTTCTCCAAAATTCTAGAAAAAATTCTCAAAAAAACAATTGTAGATTTTATCAATAAAAAATATGGATTCGATTTGAACCAATTCGGATTTCAAGAAAACAGTGGTACACAATCTGCTGTGCTACAAGTAATCAATTTTATTCAGGATAGACTTGACAAAGGAAATTATGTAGTAGCGATTTTCATGGATCTAAAAAAGGCTTTTGATACAGTTGACCACAATATACTTCTGAAAAACCTTGCTTCAATGGGAATCAGAGGAATTGGACACGATCTCTTGAAATCATATCTTGAAAATAGAACGATTATAACTAAAATTAATAACTGTGAGTCTAAAATACTATATTTAAACAAAGGGGTTCCTCAAGGATCAGTGTTGGGTCCAATTCTTTATCTATTATACATTCAAAATATTGAAAGAATGAATTTGATAGGAAACTATACCATATATGCAGACGATACAGTGCTTCTATATGAGAATAAAAACCCAGTAGTTCTAGAACATGTCATAAATGAGGACTTGAAAAAAATTGAGAAATGGCTTTATTCCAATCTTCTTTCTCTCAATTCTAATAAGACTCAATATATGATTTTTCGTCAAAGAAATAAACAAAATATTGATCTGAATATCAGAATAAAAAATGAACGTTTGAAACAAACTGCCCATACCAAATACCTTGGTATTTGGATTGATGAGAAATTAACATGGGGAAAGCATATTGACATCCTCATAGGAAAAGTATCTCCCATTATTGGTGCTTTGAGAAGATGTCCTAAACTTAGTACATATACATCAAATATCATTCTCTATTCACATATACTCAGTCGAATTAACTATCTCATAAATATTTGGGGATCTTGTTCCAAAAATTTCTGTTCTATATAAAAAGGCATTGAAAGTATTGTATCGTCTTCCATATGACACTCCAACGAATCAACTGTATAAGGAAACAAACACATTTTCTTTGGAAGAGCACTTTTTAATCAATACTCTCAAAATTTCCTATTATATCATCAACAAAAAGCTTAAATCAAATTTTATATTAATCAGGAATTCTGAAATTCATGATCATCACACTAGACAATATAACTTGTTTCATCTTGAAGCTGCAAATTCTAAACTTGGGCAAAAAAAGTTTACACATGAGGCGATTTCGAAATTCAATAAATTACCAGATGATATCAAAAACAGCCCAAATATTATGCAATTCAAAAATAAAGTTAAGAAATATATTTATATGCAAAGGAATGATCAAAGCTGAAAGACCATGAATTTCCTTTTTTCTTTTTTTTTTTCACTCTTTTTATTTTTCCCCTTCTCGTTCACTATAATATGACTGTATCTTAATGATATGTAAGTTTTGTTCACTATTTGTAATTTCAATTATACAACAGTCGATAATACTTCATGAATGATCTTATACCAGGAATTACTGTCTGATCATTCATGTCATTCCTACTAGAAAATTAATTATACTTTATATATTATTTGTATGAAATGTATCAATGAAGAAAAGAATGTAATGCAATAACTGAAATAAATAAATAAATAAATAAATAAATATTTACCTACGTTCCATAATCTAACTGCCACTTCTGGTCCAATCAAAAGTAGTAACAACCTTTTTATTTCATCGAATTTTCATCCCAACAAAATATTCTAGAAAATTCAGTACTTGTCTTCATTCTCAAAAATCAGGAATATTTACAATTTCTAT